GGGTGTGAGGGGAGGGGGGGCAGTGGTGGAGATGGGGTAAAAGGGAGACATGTCGAGGAGTCCGTGTAGAAAAAAGAATGTTTGGAATCGGATTGTGGGAGCAACCGCACAATTCATTCTACTTGACATGATGGAAATACGGACTGATAGGAGATACCTATCACATCCCAACTAATAGTAATAAGCAGGGGGGAAATGAGAGACGGATACCCAGAGAAAGATGGAGAGACATGGCAGAGGGCCAGACAGAAATCAGCGGGGGCCCAGGAGAGGCATCTGGGTCGACAGAGAGACAGACAGACAGACAAGCCTGGAGCAGAGACAGAGGGCAGGGCGCAGAGAGGGTGGTTCCTGAGAGCCTGGCTGAGGGGAGGAGGGGTTTGATCAGGTGTTTGGGGGGCTGGGGGACAAAAGGGAAATGGCAATGGCCTTCCTAGACAGAACCTGGCTCCCTTGTTGCCATGGAGACCGTCTCCACGGCGCCCAGTTCACGCCCACCTGGTGGAGTCCCACCTTGGACCTCAGATGGTCCCACACTTCCCCCTTGTGGTCTGAGACACTACGGCACTTGGATGCACAGACTCGGCGCCAGTACTGGCTGTGGTGGAAGCCCACGGGGGTCGCTGAGGCTTGAAGCCTAAGGTGGTTGGCCTGAGATCCCGCACTGAGTCCGGAAAGTTGGAACGCCGGGAGGATTTTCATCTTCGCTTGGCTCATGTTCCCGGTTTCGAGGCCTGGGGAAGCCAAGCTCACCACAAAACCAAACTCACTGCCATCAAGTCGATCCCGATGCACCAGGACCCCACGGGACAGGGTAGCACTGTTCCTGTGAGTTTCTATGGCTGTACATCTTGACGGGAGTCGAAAGCCTCCCATTTCTCCCAGAGAGTGGCTGGTGGTTTCGAACCGCTGACCTTGCAGTTAGCAGCCCAACGGATAGCCACCACACCGCCAGGACTCCAGCTAGGAGAGGGAGAGCTCTGGAGGAAATGTGGTTGGAGAGGAATTGGGTGGGTGGGTGGGTGGGATCTAGAGAGACCAGGCTTTGAGGAAGGGAGATGCCGGTAGTAGCCCAGACACCAGGTGACAGGCCTGACAGCCTGACAGGATGGAGTGCCATCTCCCCGTGGGGCTGCTGCAGCTGCGTTTTTTTTACGGTTTTATTGGTCCATAATCCACCCATCATACAATTCAAACGTTCAATCATATCAAGACGAATTGTACAATCATTACCACAATCAGTTTTAGAGCATCTTCTTTCCTTTCTCCCCCCTCCATGATTAGATCACCTTTAAAACGAGTTGCGTAATCACATCCAGTGCTAGTGTTCCCTCCCCCCTCCCGCCTTCATGGTGTGCTCCCCAAATCCCCTCCCCTCCCTGTCTTCCCCCAGCCCCACCCCCTCCATCTGCTACAAACCCTTGCATCGGTATTGTGTCAAAGCATCCACTCCTCCTGTGCTTCGCAAAGGGTAAACCCAGCAGAAACAGTGCAGAACAAACGTGCAATAACGTGGTAGGCATAAGACAACAGCGATATAAACATACAAACAACGAGTAAGAAGAAGGATCGCGTTGATATTAAAGAAGCCAGGGAGGAAGTGTTTGTCATGGAACAAGCATGAGATCCTTGCACTTAGAGCAAACTCAGGTCGGTCTAGAGGAAGGTCAAGTGA